CCAGAGAAATTGCATACACGTTCCTTATTGAACGCACTGTATATTTTATTTTCAAGTATACCTGGTACCGAGCAAATTCCCTTCCTTCGTGTCGTCCGACCATACTTTGGCCGACCAGTTGCCGATGGTTAAGAAGTTCTTCGCGTAGACGGGATTCCTGTCGATCGCGACGATCGGACCCGCGTAACACTGGAACCTCACCGCCAGTCTCTCCATGGGGTTGCTGGCTCGTCTGTTTACATTGACGACGAGGCCGTTCTCGGTGCCGGCTAGAAATTTGCTGCTCATCGTCTGTTCAAACTGTAGCGCCGTGATACCGATCGCTTTGTAAACGTCCGCCCTATCCGGCTGCTCCAGATCCATCACCAGGCTCTCCGTTGGCTTCTTTATGAATCGGATGTCCCACCAGAGAACCGCGCCGTCGGTCGAACAAGAGAAGAAGTCGGTGTTGCCCTTGGAAGGGATCCAAAGAGTCTGGACCACTGGATGTCTTTAAAGCGAAACGGCAACACGAGAACACGAGGGATTTGCGATTTTTTTGCTGGAGACTCGACCCGTTGTCAACATCAACTTTGTCACGACAGATATTCCTCGCCTTCGTAATTTTCCAGCAGTTTGCCATTTCAATTGAAACTGAACGTTATCGTACCTGTGACTCACGAAACGATGCGACGTCCCGATGGGTTTTTCGTTCACTCGAAGATCCCAGTAGCACACTTGGCCAGAGATGAGGCCGCTGACTAGCATCGCTGGATCACGCGGATTGAACTTCACCGTCATTAATTGGCTTTCCGATTTCAACATGTACAGAGCTTTATTCGGATTCTCTGCGCGAGATAAACGATCAGTTTTTTCACATTGTCGGTAATTACCTGTATATGCTATTCGGTCAAAAGAATAATTTCTCCTTCAACAGATAAACACGCGTACCTTGTAATGTAACTGATTTCGTTGTGTATGTTCAAGCTTATTCAAGAAACGAGAACAATGCACGTGTTTGTTAACGATATTCAAAAATATGGAAGATCAAACTGTGCTCTGTCACTTTCGAACGTGCAAAAGTTTGTAAGAAATTATTGTCTGGTGTATATGGTGAAGAATCTTTTGAAAAATCGTGGAATTGTCTGAAAGAAGAATCGAATAAAATGTCGCATCCAATGAAGGTTTTGTTTCGCCTTTCATTTCCACTGGGAGGAAATATATAATAGTTTTTTTTTTAATCAACCTTATATTGTTTTAATCAACAATATATACAAAAAGAAAGAAAAGAAAAGAAGAAGATTCTACTCGACGAGAAAGTGATACCTAGGGAAGAGACTCGTACGTGTGTATGCGTGGTATCGAATCGATGAAATGTCAAAATGTCGCGACTGAGCGCGATTTTTTCGTGAAATTACATAAGGAATAACCGAGTACCGATATTCCATACGTAGGAGTACGGACTCACGTCGGCCGAATGCTGCTCAAACTCCAGGAACCCGTACGCGACAGCCAATCGATCAGGGTTGTTCGGGGACCACGATAAGTTCCTGATTGGTCTCACTTGAGTCTGCGGGTCCTCGTACAAGTTTACCACCCTGAATAAGAAAGCAAGAAAGGGAGAAAGATACAATATTTAATTGATTTATATTTCATTTTTACATTTGACCTACAAATGACAGTGAAAAACATAATTGTACCAATAAGAATAAAAAAAACTGATACGAGTTTGTAAAAAAAGATTACGCAGTAATTCACAGTTTCTATTTTCAGTTGTATTTGGTCGTGAGTTTGTTTCTCTTGAAGATGACTTTACATCACGTGGTACATCAAGAAGTGGTAGAAGAAGTTTCAGGGAATCATTGCGAAGGAAAAACTTTGATCTTCGAAATGATGGTGGATCTAGTCACGAGAAGAGATTTTTAATATTTTTACACACGTTTGAATTTTCAGAATTTTCGAGAGGAATGTGTCCTCGGTTTCCCGCCCGCTGCGTGGTGTAAAATCATTTTCCAAAGGGTCAAATTCACTGTACTATCAAAATACAAGCTTCGTGCTTTAAAATGAGACCAAAGTGGATCGTCCTATGATCCATTTTTTTACAAAGTTGTATCAGTTTATAAATTTTCGACAAATTTTTCGTTGGTACAGTTATGCTCTTCACCTGTACGTAAAATGTACTTTTGCCGGAATAAAATGAAGCCTCATCGAGGTCCTAAATATTTGACGAAACAAACGAAATATTTGTATATTTATGAAACGAGATATCGCGGAGTGGCTCGATTTTTTAAATCGAAAGTTGGACCGATTTTATCGCGACGGAGCGCAGCCGGATCGTTAGTTTCACGAACCTATGGATTTTCATTGCCACGTCGATAACGATCGTTTTTGCTTGTAAATTTCGCGCCGGACTTAATGGATAAAATCGAACGGAGAGTCGTTTGGCTAACGAATTCGATAGAGCTATTTGCTTTATCAACGATCACACCGTGTGTTTCACGATTCTCTCGTTAACACGTTCCGTGGCATGTGTACCACCGGTGGTACACGTTAAACTTGAT